ATTAACTCTGGTTGCTACTCTAAATCAGTTTTAGTGACCACCAGTTTCCATAAGTTGGTGTCAGAAATGGCTTCTATATCTTCAAGTTTAGTGATCCTGTGCAAGTAGCATTCACTTTAAAATTTACTGACATACAGAATGGTGGCTGTGCTAGAGGCTTTTAGTTGCATTGTTATAGGGCAAATCCTGAAAGCTTTCTTAAAAGTATATAGATTTCTCATTCATCTCCTAGATGCTGCTCGCTATATCCTTTTCGCCATGATCTTTCTACTGTCAAAAAACCTGGTGACTTTTCCTTTGGATCATCTATTCTAACTGATAACTTTCTAGCCATGATCTCACAGAGGTTAATATGCTTAGAAATTTTATTCACAGGGCTTGACCTTGTAAGGTCATGCATTTCTCTTAGCCGCTTTGTAATACTGAGGCCTAACGCAGACTGTTACTAACTGTTACTAACACACAGGCTAGGTACAGAAATTACACATAAAACAGTATAAGAAATTGGAAATGTTTTCAAATCTGTAACACAGCAGAAGTTCAGGCCACAAAGTGCTTTCAAAATGACCAAAACTAGTTTAAAGTAATGGGATGGATTTAGTATTAGACTTAATTGATTTGTTTATTGAACTTCTGTCCTTGATCCCCTCCAGATTCAAGTTAACTGACAGTCCCCCAGCATCCCAGCATGCTTTGCAACCCCCCCCATTGCAAGGCACCTCACAGGGAGGGAAGGCTAACCTTATCCCAAGCTGTTTACTCTAGCTTCCAGCTGAGGAGGGAGGTGTGCTCTAGTGTCATCACCATCTGCTGTGAGCCACTGCAGGCATGTGGTTGCATTTTTGGAATCAGAAGTAAATGTCTGTTCACCTGTTTATAGGTTCAATCCACACAGTTTAAGCTAACCTGTGAAGACTAAACAAATTGACAGGCTATAGGGCCGTTGGGGGTTGCTCTTAGCCTTTCTTATGGGATAGAATACTTACATAATTTCTGCCCAAAGTATAGTGAATCATGGAGACTGATTCTACAACCCAGTCATTATGGTCCTCACCTGGGTTGAAGGAGACCCAGATTTAAATCTCTTTTCCAGTGAATAACTATATATCAAAAGGGAAGAGCCATAATAGGAATATACCAGAATAGCCTGGTCTGGGTTGTGGGAGATAGAGACTTAAGTTCAAGGCCCTAGCCTGAAATCAGGGTGAAAGAGGACTTGAAACTGAGTCTACCACATCTGATATGTGCACATTAATTACCTATTTAACAGATAATCTGTGGTGAATAGATCTCTGTTTTTCACCCCCCCCCCCCAAAAGGTCTGAAATACCTTAGTTTCAACCCATTGAAGAACAGGAAACTTCAGATCTCAAATACAATAGCAAAATAAGAAAACTTTTTCCCACCCATTTTTAAGCAGCACTACTGTAATTTCATTGTAGTATACAGTTTTGCTTATTCTTTCAATCTCATGTTATTTCAAGATGTAATTTCCAAATTAATTAGTTGTCCAGTAACATTCAGCCAACATTCAGCCTTTAATTCTTAAAGAAACAGACTTTCTGAATGATGTTTCAGAGTTTTCTATTCCTTTGTAAAAGAGTATCATAGAACCTGATGCAAACATTTGTACATTTGATCTTGTTTTTGATTCCATTATGTGTAGCATTACCCCACTGTAGGACTGGGGACAGACATCCAAAAAGCCTGAGCCTGAATTGAGTCAATCTTTGCAGGTTAGTCTAACTTGGCTAAGCTGAACCAGTTTATAACCACATAGACATCCCTTCTGGAGTGAAGAAATGCAGGCACATGCCTGCAGTGGCTCAAACTAGAAGCTGAGGGTCACTAGAGCAGCCCTCCCTTCCCTTCTACAGTGATGAGCTGAGGGGGCTTAGCCAGGCCCTGACAGGATGCTTTGATTAGGGAAGGGTACTCCCATCGCTGTTCCTGACCAGTGAGGGAGCCAGCATGGAGTTACACAGCATTTATTTATACAGTAGGCAGTTACACAGGGAGTTGTTAGCATTTAGCACCCCATCATAAAACAAAAGCCTCTCTCATTAGTTCAAGCTCTTCTTAAACAACATTTTCCAAGGAAGGAATGGAGGGACATTATCAGCTACCTGTTAATTAGTTCCAAAAAGCCCTAAGCAGACACCATCCTGTCTAGTTTACACAGGCATCTCTCAGCATTAGTTAGCATACCACATGCTGGCTACAGTCCATGATGTCGTGGGGCGAAGGAAGGGCAAAGGGAAGGCAGGCAGATGCTGCTGTGTCTGTCGTCTCTGCCAGAGCTCCAGCCAGGGAGCAGAGGGGAAGGGCCAACTCAGCTTTCTCGAGCAGAGAGCCCCGCACAGGGCTGCAAAGCATTTGGGATGCTGGGGGACTCTGGTTTAAGTTAAACCAGGAAGTGTCCCGGGACAGACACTGCATAAATTGGTCTGACCCAAATCAGTTATGTCTGATACCTACATTCAACCAGGTTTATCTCAAACTGGTTTCAGCCATTTTCAAACTGGTTTATGTGCACTGAATGTCTGTTCTGTTACAGGTTTAAACCAGTTTCTGATCACTTAAACCAGTTTGTGTGTAATGGCTAGGGACAGACTAGGAGACTCATCAAGGAAGAATGTAAGTGCATTCCATCACTTATTCATTTATTCAATTTTTATCTATGAATATTGATAGACAGGGCAGAAACTAGTCTCCTCTATTTGTCCTTTGCCACTCTGGGGGAGAGATTACCTATTCTGTCTTTCCCTGTTCAGAGTTCTCAAAGGTATCTATATTGTGTCATGTCAGGTAGTGCTAGAGAACATCTCCATGAAAACATGCCTCTGGCCACTTGTTCTTAATCCATGCAAGCCAAACAAGATGCCACGTAGCTACTGCTAGATGTGCTTTTGTGAACATGGACCAGACTAAGAGCCTGAAAGTGATGCCAGGTGCCTCCTAACCATGAACCAAAAAGTGAACGCATGACATTTTTCAGCACTCAGTGCATAAGAAGCAGGAACAAATGAGCTGGACTAGCATTAGTCAATGCAGCATTGCTTGTGGACACCTGTGTTTTATCAAGCTAGCTGGCTTCCCCAAAAAGCTGCCAGAGTGTATTTTCAGCACGCACACTTTCCCCATGTGGCACTCTGTATGTGGGGAAGAAAGAAAGATGGGATTCATTTACATTAGCCATCAGGCTGGTAAAAGCTGGTTTTCATTGGACAGTGAGGAGAGATCTCATGGACAGCTCCTTCCCATCCCTTTCTGAGTGAGTTGTATCCCTGCCAGGTAAAGAGGCAAACAATCCCCATGCTCCCTAGAGATGGAAATCAGTTTGAAAATTTGGAGCGAGTCCATCAAAATCAGTACATTTACAACCATTTAAGACAGGTGACCCATTGACTATAGAAACCAATCACGGAAAAAAGTGCCCAACCAAAAAAGAAATTTGTCACTATCGTGAAATAAATCCACAGCAATCGTGTACATCTTTGTAGCCAAATTAAAAAAATGGCTTTGTGAATGTACATTTTTTTGTATTCTATATGGTTATTAAGGACTAACTTTATAGTCCAACCCCAAAGTACTATAAGTAATCTACATATATTAATGCTTGTGAATTTTAATCATACAGATTAGGGGTGTGAGAAATAGGCCATATTCATTTTGGATTCGGCCCAAATTGGACAGTGATTCAATTCGTTGATTAGGATCACAGTCTCGATTCAATTTGGCCGAATCCGAATCTGATGATTCAATGCTGATTCAGAGAATCAGAGATTCAGCTATAGACACAGCTTTAAATGTTTTTTCTACATATCTCAAGGTATCAGGCACGGCTCATGAATGCTGCAATGGTGGAGCGAATGGAGCATCCCACAGGAGTTGGGGGGGGGGGCCTGCATGCTTGGTGGTGAACCCAGAAGTGGACCAGAAGTACTTCCGGTCCACTTCTGGGTGCAGCCACTGAGCCCACAGGGGAACCCCCATGTCCCCCCAGCTCAGCAATCAGCTGTGGGGGGACCCCGGGTGCCCTCCCACACCCAGGAGGCACCAGTCACCAAGCTGGGGGCACAGCCCCTGCACACTCCCCAGCAGACCCAGAAGTAGACCAGAAGTACTTCTAGTACACTTCATGGTCCACTGTCAAGTGCACTGGCCCCCACCCCCCCCCATGCTCCCATGGGGTGCTCCATCTGCCCCAGCATCTTAGCATTCATGAACTGCCTGGTAACTTGAGGTAAGTAGAAAAAACATTTAAAGCTGTGTCTGTGTCCGAATCATTGAACCTCTCTGAAATGATTCAGAGGGTTCTGATTTCATTCGGAGAGATTAAAGGGTCTCCTGATTCGATTTGGATTCAGAGATTCAGCCGCCAAATCAGGACGAATGTCCGCCAAATCGAATCAGTGACCGAATCTTCACAGAGTCCTAGTGCAGATACCTTTTATGAAGGGTTTCCATTTATTCCAGTTTTCAACTAGAGAAGAAACCTTTCTTTTCAGAAAATCGGGCAAAAACCTGAATTCCTGCCACAATCTAAACTCATTGGCCCTTACAAGTTCTTAACAGTGTATCAGTAACTCAAGAAAATATGTATCTTAATATGAGGATTTGTTAATAATTTCATACAAATTGTGTATTTAAAAGTATCCCGCCATACATCTATTTCAGCATAAGCATATCAGTACAGCTGACCAATGATTTCTATTACAGGCTAATAAAATGAATGCACAATGGGCAAAATATCTGGGCTATTCTTTGAACAATAAAGGCAAAGGTTCTAGCACTGTGCGTATGCAAGAGGTCATAACTGTATTTACCTTAAAGCAGAGACATCTGGATGTTCCACTGGTATAAAGGAGGGATGGTGCACAAAATTTAAAAGTTTCCACATAGGGATTTCTTAAGGTTAAAGGACTGGAAAAGGTAAAGCTTTCATGGAACATAAATTTGCATGGAGCCAGTCACAAACTGAAAAAACAGCAATTTACCTGAAGAAGGTGACAAAGAACTGCACAAGATCCATGATGGTGTTGTGCTGTGAGAAGGCAATCTGAAAATAAAAATAAAACTAAATTACAATAGCACTTTCACAGTCAACAGTCCCTTGGGATGTTCTAGAACAGGGGGGATTTTATAGCTCCGTGGATGAGTGCTTTAAAGTGCAATTTCAGCCTGGTATGCACACCTGCACGACACCTACTTACCATAAAGGGAGCTGGGTAAATAACTTCCACCACAGGTGCTGAAAATATCTCTCCCTGTGTCAGACTACAAACAACAGAATGTAGCTGTTCTCTCGTATAAAAATGAATGGCTATAACTGCAAAATAATATTGTTTGACAAGTCTAACGCCTGGAACAAAATGTAAAATATTAATTGATAATCCTAGGAACAAAACTTATGCAAGTAGTGCTTTTTTATTTTAAACTCAGTAATATTTAATTGACTTCATTTCCATTTTAGTTAAGATTTTGAAAACAGATTTTAAAAGCATCACACAGAACATTCTATGCCACTAAACTGAGACTTTTTAAGCATTTTTAGTGATTAAACACACAACATACATTTAAATATAAATGGATATAATCATTTACAAACCAGATAAAACCGGTGCATAGTAGAACAAATGGTTTCAAGACACACATTTACAAACGGAGCTGTAAGTGGGGTTACTTATTTAAAATAACGTGAACAGAACTTGTAGTATTTCATATCTAGCTTTTCTACTGGATTGTTTTTTTACTATATGGAAGTAATTTCCTCTAATGAGTGTCTTTCTTAATAAGTATATATCATACATCCTATAATTTATTTTTAACTAACATTGAGAGTGGTATTTTTATTTTGAGCTGCCTATATCTCCAAGATCCCTCTCTTGCACAATTTTTCATTGCACGTAATTACTGAATTGAGAATATATTCTATTTTCATTATTACTGCATTTTTTTTCTGCTTCTAATTGCCTATGGTGGCTTATCTAATTATACTGCCAGCCTACCCAAGTCATTCTGTTTCTTTTTCATGAGTGGCCTGGTCCTGAATAAGTGGCTGCATCCACACAAGACTTACTGCACAGTCATTTAGTACTTGCATACCTGATTAATCGAGTCTGCTCCGATGTGCTGTAATTACGTGTCGGAGCAGCCACCTTGCATGTGTATAGGAGCCCTTGGTTTTCCATCACTGTTTACTAAGGACTGGCCTGTAATTTTGGCCATGAGCTAGAAGTGGTGGATAAATTCAATCATTCCATAGGGCAAAATCTGAGACGTATCAATGATATGTCTGAGAAACATAGTTAAATATTCATCTTTGCTTTTTCCTTCCTAATGATTACCTGTAATAAGACAAATGACTTTCTTCCAGAGCATTCTGTATTTTGGAGCACAGGGTCTTGACTGTCAAAGATTCTCTACTCTGATTAGTCTATAATCAGCCTTTTTCAAGCATGCGAAAGAGAAGGAGCTAAACTCTGAAGAGGGAATGAATGCTGGAAATACCTCTTGGCCTCAATAACAACAAAAATCATTATAGGGAAATCTTGAAATTCTCAGACAAGTTTCACTGATGTACTCAGATATTGTTGCAATGAATACTTGCAATGTATACTGTAATGTAACAACTGTCATAATGAATACTGTATAAGAACCAAAGCAGATTGCATTATATTGCCTAAATATCCAATGAAGTCAATGCGCGTTTTACTTGAATGACAGTATCATAAAGACTGAAAAAAGATCCAAGGTATATTTGGTCCAAAGTGTCAGACATCCAAGCAGCAATGCCTATTTAAATAATATGTTAAATGAGAAACCAACGGCTTCTTATGATTGAGCTACATTTTAAATCCAGACACTATTCTCTGCAAATAAGATTTAATATTAAAAATTACAACTGGCTTTTCCATAACACTTGTTACAAATATCATGGTTTAGGGGATGAACTAATACAAGAGACAAAACATGAGCAATTTTCAGCAGAGTTCATCTTATGTGACACTATTAAAAAGCTATTTGTTGAAGAAGCCTTTACATTTTGCATTACTGCAATTATTTTCACCCGAAGTGTCAGCTTTCATTGAAAATGTCCCTCATTCCAGAAACAATTATTGTCATGGAAAACTATTACAATCAATAACTGTGGTCCTCCTGATGATAAATGATTGCCCTATAAGGTAAATTTTATATCGAATATTTCCAAGAAGGATCAGTGCCTTACTTTTTTTTCCACACAGTACAGCATATCTGAAGGTAAACAGATTTACAACTATTCAGCAAATTCTGTATGGCTATTAACTATTAAATCTACTATTTTTTTCAGAAAGTACAGATATGATTAGGACATCTGTCAGCCACAGATGAAATCATAAAATGAGCATATATTTAATTATTTTATGCCTCACAACTGTAAAGCTACTAAATTGGAACATATGAGAGATCTACATGGGCAACGGCTATAAAACTATAGAAATTGGTATGTTCTACAATCAGAATTCACCCTTGCAAATTAATAATCTTTTACATAATTTTAAGAATTCCATTTGTTTGTCAATACAAGACCTGGCTGGAGATTACCAAATGATTTGCATAATAGGTGAACTGCACTTTTGTTGGTTTGCATACTGTAACAAACTGTGTCCAAGTGATATTTAAATTCTCCAAATGTCTCCAATAAAACTACAAGCACCAATAATTGTCATATATTACAAGTATTGATCAAAACAATCTAGCATATTTCAATTTTGTCCCTTAGCTCTCCCCAAATAGAAAAGATTATAAACCAGACGTTCTAAACAGTCCCTCCATTATTTTTTAGAAGGATGAGTAAATATTGGACAAATAGAAATTAATATTTGGGCAACTGTTATTGTTCTTGCACAAAAATTAGTAGTCACAAAATGCCATGAGGTAAATTTTCATCTGTACCACTATTTGGTCTCTGTCTGTGAAGACAGTACATTTCACATCCGCAAACTCTCTTACCTTCTGTTAGTACAAATACCTACAAAATTGGAAATGTGCACGTTAATTTCTCCAAATGTAAATATCTGCAACAGTATATCCCATTAATCCCAACATGTTTTCAGATGCAAATTTTTACATTCCTCATTATTAGATTTTTTTATGTACACAAATTGCTGGATATGTGAATATCTGAGTAACTGTTTAGTTGGCTACAAATCTCACTCTGGTGGTGAGTCCATAGAAATAAATCTGCCACAACTATAGGCTAATACAGTTAGAAAGTGCTCCTCTGTTTCTGGAAGACACTAGGAAAACTGGCTAGCTATAATTGTGATATAATTGCGTAGGTTCACTCCCTTATTCTTGTAGTGTGAGACAGGCCCCTGATCCACTTACTGCTACACAGACTTCCACATGGCTGGGCTGGGGGTAAGCCAGCTGGCACCATGTGGCTGGGAGGTGTGCTGCTGGCTGGTTCAGTTCCAAAAGCCTGTGGGTTTAAAAGAAGTCCAGAAGTGGAGCCTAAGGGAAGAGGAGAAGGAGCACTAGCAACAGAGCTGGTAGCTCTCCCTGTGGCTGCAAGTGACCCAGTATAGCCGTGCTGGACCAGCACACCTGGTGGAACAGCTTGGGCTTGAGGCAGCAACTGGGTGTATGGGGAGCACCCAGAGGCAGACTCCACTGCTGCCAGGGAGCTGGTAACTCCCCCTGGGGCCAATACCCCTGGAAATTGTGGGAAAGCCCAGATTGCCTATGCAAACTGGGACACAGCTGCCAATGCCAGCTGCACTGCTGCAGCTGATGGATTGTGTGGTTACAACCCCATCCCAAGGCATGGCACCTGTGATGTCCTTCATAGGTGTACAAAGGTCAGCTGGGCCTGGGAGAGGGTGGCACAGAAGGCATGGCCGAAGTCTCCAAAAGGGAGAAGCTGACACAATACCCTACTAGCCACACCCCCCCCAACTGAGTGTTCACCGAGTCAGAATGCCCTGGCCTGGGACTCGCAGAATCATGAGCAAAATACAGGTGCAGAGGGATGTACTCCTCAATGCTACAGGACCTGGCCGGGCAGAACACGGTCTCAGATGCAGGCCCAGAAAAGGGGCATTCTTGAGTGGAGAGACCATGGGATAAGGGTCCATGGTGAATGACATGAGACCTGCATCAGGGAGACCAACTGGTGGCTTCAGGAATGGTGTCTCGAGGCGGGCTTCAGCCTCCTAGACAATGACCCGCACATCAGGACGAGAGACATGCTCCGGTGGGATGGGCTTCACCTTTCTCCCAAAGCTAAGCATGTGTTCTCTTCTAGGTTGGTGGATCTTCTCCAGCAGGCTTTAAACTAGGCTTGTGAGGGGAAGGGGAAGACAAGGGCAGAGGAAGCCTTGGACCACTAATCTAAGCATCACCCACAAGAACAGCCTAGCCTAGACTGACGATGAGCAGTACAAATACCAGGTAAGCAACAGGGGCCAGGGCAGTACTGAGAGTAGGGGGCCTGTGCACACATCTTCAGGAGGCCTCAAATGCCTCTACACAAATGCTTGTAGTATGGGGAACAAGCAGGAGGAACTTACGCTCCTGCTAGCTGACACCAACCCAGACATAGTGGGGCTCACAGAAACGTGGTGGGACCCAACGCAAGACTGGGCAGTGAATATCAAGGGCTATAGGCTGTACAGGAGGGACAGGACAGGGAGGAAAGGTGAGGGCATGGCGCTCTACATCAAGGAGGAATACACATCCTCAATGAGTAGCACGGGGTCAGAGGACCCAACGCATGACTGGGCGGTGAATACCAAGGGCTGTAGGCTGTACAGGAGGGACAGGACAGGGAGGAAAGGTGGGGGTGTGATGCTCTACTTCAAGGAGAAATACACATCCTCAACGAGTAGCAGGGGGTCAGAGGAGGGGCACACTGAAGTGCTCTGGGTTAGAATACAAGGAAGTTGAGGGGAAAGGGACTTAACAGTGGGGGTCTACTACAGACCACCCAACCAAGGGGAAGAGCTAAACCAGGAATTCTTAAGTCAGCTCATGGAGGTAGTTAGGTCAAAGGACATGGTCATCATAGGAGACCTG